TGACGAAAACTTTGAGATATCAAGGTCCTGCCTCTTTTTTCACAAAAAAGTAAATATGCTTAAACTGCTAGAGCTCTTTGTATCATAAATTTTTCTACCGATCGTTATTTCCAGCCTACAATTCTCACTCAGTGAGGAGTTTTCCACAAGGAAATCATTAATTTTGTAGACTATAGTCTACATATATGTAAATACAAATGTATATATTTACATGAATATACATAAATGAACAAATATATATATGAACCATTCCATGCCAAGTGCCACACTTTTTCCACTTTATATCTCAGATTTTTTATTTAAATTTTGCTGATTAGTAGAGTCTAAGCCAGTATATAGAATGCTGAAAAAGACCTGGAAAAGTGAATTCTCCGCCGAGTTACAACGCCTTGAAATTGCAAAATTTTCCAAACTGTCGCTTGAAATGCGCAGTAATTTAGCTCGTTTCAACAGAATTCAATGCTTTTTTGCTCATTAGGTTTGCCATGTCCTAAACTTTTAAATGCATATTAACCTTTTAATTCCGACAGAAACCACATAGATATAGTAAAAAGAAGATTTGAAATGAACATTTAAAAAAACGAGTTGTTAAATGCTTTAAAAAGACGTCTCGTATGGAGTTTTTTGCTCTATAACATGTCAAGATTTTGAAATGGCAATTTTTCGGTGTCGAGAGCTACGAGCCGGAATAGGATGTAAAATTAGAAAAGACCGCCTATTTTTACAGTAATCCCATGTATTTTACAGTGTCGAGACCGTCCAAAGCCGCTTCTGAAGGCCGCAGCGGGCAGCCACAAATATTCCGTACACTTTAAACGTTGAAACTTTGCTGCAAAAGTTGTACTTCACTTTAATAATATTAATAAATTATTATTCTGCAAAGCCGTAAGAGGTTGCCTTTACTCTAGCGTTTTCTATTCTTTGTATTTCGTGGTTCCTAAGCTCTTAGAATTGTGTTTTTTATTCGTCAAAGTTCTGGTTAGGTTCGATTTATTCTTCATTAAAATTATGTGTTGGAGTTCTCCAAAAACAGAATTTTTCAAGAAGAACCTTAATCTTAAAGCTAACCGGATAAAGCAGTGAGTTCCACAAAAAAAACGAGATTTTTTTTCAGATTTTTCAGATTTACATCCCATTTCGGCTCATAAGTTTCGTTACCAAAAGACAGCCACCATCAAAACTTGATATTTTGTAGAACAAAAAGTTCTACATAAAATATGTCTTTTTTAAAAGGTATGAAGGTAAGTTCTTTTTTCTATATCTTCCTGAAGTATTTCTTTTACTATATCCATGTCATTTTTCATCAAAATCAGAGCATTTAATATGTATGTAAAAATTTAGGACATAAATAATCAAATAAATAAGAAACTGTTAAGGCTAAATTACAAATCTGCAAAGGTACGTATGTCACGCGGAAACCTGGCAAATTTTGCAACTTTGAAAAGATACAACTTGGCAGGAAATTTACTTTTACAAGTTTTTTTAGTTTTTTTGTTTATATATATATGGGCCATTACTTACTGTTAAAGTCTTACTTGCAGTCCTGCTTGTTTTGAAAAAAACTATATTAATATTTGTAAGCTTTTTTATCAGCGCTAAATAAAGTGTGAAATGTTTAACGCTTGCCTGCCGATGCCTACCGTAACCCGTTGGAACCAGCTACAGGAAGCTTAGCTAACGAAGCATGAAGCATACTATATTTAGTACCTTTTAAAAACTTGGTATTTTTACTGGGAACCAATGTCATACCTTGTATATACTGACTTCAATATATAGTGCATTCTTCGGGCTATTTAAACAAGTGCATATTGTGAAGAAAGAAAAAGTATAAAAACAGGAAAGTAGTCAAAAATCCTGCTTGCTTTTAAAAAACCTTCCAATTTGGTAGTTTTAATCAGTAGCTTTGCCTAACAAATGCCGCCCATTCTTCAATGATACCAGTACTGTCATTTCCAAACTATTTTATCAGCACCACTCTATCAGCGAATGAACAGTAGGAATGTACAAAAAGTACTTGAAACCGGTCCAGATATCATGGAAAAAAAAACCTGGATGGTTTACGGTTCGCTCCATAACATTACAAAAAAGCGTCTTACTTATAATCAAAAACATAAAGTAGGCGCAGAAGCTGCACAGGATGCAGAAAACGCACGAAAAAAAGGAAAAAAATAAAACACAAAAAGCAGTTTTAAAGCAAATTTTAGCTTCCTCAAAGCCAGCTTTGTTTGAAGGATTAAAACACATCAGTGAAGTGCTGGAATTCCCCCAATTCAGACACCTTCCGCTACAGCGAATCGTAGGGTCAGTTTGGAAATGAAAACGAGTGTAAATCCGATTTTCCGCTTTATACATTGTAATGATATACATATATTAATATGCTATATGGTTTTTCGACGCAGTGTTATGCACGGCGGTTTGTGGTATGGCGTTTTGAGCACGTTGTTGTAAATATGCTAGTGATCTCGAGGTCATTCATTGTTTGCTTTATTTTTTTTTTTTTTTATTATTGCTACTGTCAAACGAATATTATCTTGAAACGCTGTTGTTTTTGAATTCCATTTTTAATTGAATTAAAGACGAGCCGTCTGAAGGAATACTGGCGAAAGTTGTGAGATGTTGGATATAGAGGAGAATGAAGAGGATTTGGAAGGGAAAGCCAGGTTCACCGTTGTTAATAAATGTCATTTCCCTCCATTCAAATAAGCAGTAATGAGTTCTATTATATAGTTGCTTGGACTCTTTTGCGGAGATGCGGAATGGGATGCTATTCTCTGAGGCCATTAAATTATTTCTGTATGTGATTCTCAGTCCCGCCTAATTTACTTGCACTAATAATGAACTGTTTTTCTTTTTGTACTTTTTGTTAACTTTCCGACGGTTTAGTACTGATGTTTCGCTAAATTCTTAAAGCGTTTTAAAAAACGCTTTTTGGTGAAGTTTGGTGTGATTGGTTGTGACTGTATGGCATCAGGTTTACTTCGGCCCAGAAATTACTCGTTAATCTGTAGAAGGTATCTCTGCTTTCGTAGCAGTTCGACTGCTTTGTAGTGCTTTTTGGAAAAGTAATTAGGAAAAAGCCACCTTTATTTACAAACGATCTTAAAATTTGCGCTCAGGGTAGTTTTCTCAGCCAATAAATTCAGATAAAGAAGCATTACAAAATCACAAAAGTGAGAATTATTCTGCCACGTGTGTGCCTATTTTGGAAAGCTTTTTCAAACAACTTTTTGTGGCATTTTTTACATTAGATCAGTCGGTTCTGTGTGCATCACATAGATATTTTTGGGGCCTGTCAGAAAATGGTAAAAAAGTGTGAAAATTGGGCGTAGGCAGGTTACAGGCACTTAATGAGATTCTTTTGAGTCTTCAGGTTTTTACTTTTGCCTTTATGAAGTGCAGTTATAGTCTGTTACACTACGTGCAGCTGGCAACCTTATGTCATGGAGCACTGTAAGACTTCAAACGAAAGTATAGCACTAAATCGTCACAAAGTTAGCAAGAAGTGCATGAATAAGTTTTGGGCTATCTTGGGTAGGTCGTTAGAGGCCGAGAGTGTACTGGAAAAGTGAAGTTAAGTTGACAGTAAGATAAGCATATTCGAAAGAGAGCACGCTTAATTGCATTAGCGCTTGTTCCTTGAAGATAGTGGTTTTACAGTTCCTCATTTGAATATGTTTTTCTTTACATTTACCTGATTCATGTATTTTTGAAGTTTTAGAACTTTTTTATTCATTTATTGATGCCTTTTAGGTGGTTAAGAGGGGAAGAATCACGGTTTTGTGGAATGGTCGCCCACTTGGCGGCTAAACCGTCTCTGTATACCTCCTCTTTAATTTGTATTGCTTTACAGGTAAGACTGTTTATTTTCGTTCTTTTATTATTTGAAATGAGTACACAAAAGTAGTTCTCCATCTGTTCCAGGCTTTTTAGTTAGGTGATACTGCAGACCATTTATTATTGAACATGGCTATCAAATTTGAAATTAATAAGCTAGGAAGTGGGTTTTTTCAAGAGGCGAGAAGGGGCTTTTAGCTGCAGTATTCTAAACAGATTAACCAGACAAAATATACGTTTTTTGGGAGGGAGGGAGGAGGGACGGAAACGAGTGCTGTCGCCGCGCTGCACTTTCGTCTCTTTTCTCTCGCTACCTCTGGCATAGAGAGTAAAGGTGTATTTAAAAATTTCACTGGTGGTGGGTTGTGTACTGCATTGGTAAACTAGAAAAGTTCTTTTTTTTTGTAACTTTAGAGTTGATTATATTATTTGATTTGCCATTTTTTTATTTTTTATTTTTGGTCATTTCTCTCACTTTTTAAAGTTTTGCTTTTCTGATATATTTGCAAGATTTTCATGGTTTATTGCTTTAATCGCTGTTTGGTGCAGTACGTCTGCAGCTACTTGTATTTATTGTTTTCAGATAGATTAAATATTACATTTTTGATGTTTTGGAAAGTTAAGTTTGTTTTCCTCTTCGATGTAGAGAATTGAAGGGGTTGACTCAAGCATATTTTTGCTTCCTTTTTTAGACAAGAGAGCAGTTATAATTTTATATAGACTAATTCTGGAATGTATTACTCCACTCTCCATGATTTGTTTTCTTCTGCTTTTCCAATGTTTCAGTCGTAGTGGTTTCACTTGAATTATTAGTTTAACGATCTTTACTTAAGAACTTTTCTTATATCCGCTCTGAACGATAGGAATTTTGGTATTAAAAAAAATAGTTTTTGGTCACTACGATAAATTTAACGCTCTTACAGATAATGGGACAAAAAAGACTTTTCCTTGTTTTTTTTTTCTCCTTCTATAACATTTAGTCAAATAATCGACTGTTCAAAGCTTTTTTTCTTTTAGACTGCTTTCCTCTCCTTTTTGCTTTGTCACTATGGCTTTGACTTCGATTCCGTAGTACGGCCTTCGCTGCTCTGGGTTTTTGAACGGGTGAAACAGGTACTGTAAGGAAATTCCACTATATTATTTTGCTTAGTTACCAGCATCCCTAATACTATTTAACTATTTCAGCTTTCTTTCAGAACTCATACATTAATAGTTTTCTTGAAGCAACCACAAACCTTTTCGCTTTTGGTGAAGAAGAAACAGAAAACGAAAAACATTATCGCAGTAAATCTTTACGTAATAAAGTTGGTTCAGGTGGATCAAAGTTGGACGTTCTTAAAGAAGATCTTCACTCGCTTCCGGTTTTTACTAGGTTTATTTTTAGCTTCTAAAAGTAATGTGGTGTGCATTTTAAAATGAAAACGAATAATTTATGTTGATGATTTTTTTCTAAACATTGGTTTTCTTTTTTAGTGAACAGCTTGCTCTTTTCGATGGCTCAAGACCGTCGAAGGGCGTTTATCTAGCCTTACTGGGTAGAGTATATAATGTCGAGAAAGGTCGGAAGCATTACGCCCCAGGTGGCGGATACCACTTCTTTGCAGGTATAAGTTTTGAGAATATAAATGAACATAGCTTTAGCAACTTTTGGTCAATTTAGGACGATATAAGTTTTTAGGGAGGGATGCGACTCGAGCTTTTGTAACTGGAGATTTTTCTGAAAGTGGTTTGGTAGACGACGTTAGCGAACTTGGTCCTCGAGACTTGATTGGGATACTTGACTGGGTTAATTTTTATGAGAAAGGTTACGAGTTAATAGGGGTAGTGCGAGGGAAATATTACGATCAAAGTGGTCGGCCTACTCACCAACTTCAGGTTCAAAATTTGATGATTATTGTGTTACTAGATTTTTCAGGTCTTGGTTTCAAGTTATTCTGTCGCTTTGCCTTACTCTTTATACATTTTCTGAAACAACTCAAGTGATAGAAGCACATCTTAACTTGCAGTTATCTTTTTTTAGAAAGTTATTGGTCTAATGGAGGATGCGATGCATTGGCAACAGTTGCAAACGAAAGAGGCTGAAATTTTTCCTCCATGCAATTCTGAATATCACAGCAGTGTTGGAGGACGAGTTTGGTGCTCTTCGAAAAGGTTTTGAATTGTTGTATAATAATTAAAGCCTTTAATTACCTTCTTTTCCATGCTTACTTTTAGTGGAGGAGTAAACAGGGATTGGATTGGAGTTCCCAGAAAACTATTCAGCGCAGCATCAAAAACTTTCAGGTTACTTTTTATTTTTTTTCTCTTTTTCTTTTTACAGTTAGTCCGAAATCTTAAGTGGAGCGTATATTGGTAGGTTTTTTCTTTATGCCACTTTTCTTGTGGTTTTAGGTGTGTTTGCGTAAAAGATTTTGGTCCTCCTCTTTCTTCTTATCCAAATGCTGATGAAAAGGGAGGTCGTGGTGATCTGGACAATCCGAATCTGAGTGAATACCCGGGTTGCAAACCAACATCTAATTCATGCAAGCTTGATAAAACATAACACGGATTTATAGTGCGCTTATAGTGTATTAACTTAAAAGTTTGTTATTGATGGGTACTGAGAACTGATGGAGAAAAATACCCATCCATTTTAAATTATAGGATTTCCGCTTTTTTGTAATTCATTTTAATTGATACTTGGTTACTACTTGCTCCCACCTCTTGTCGCTGTTTATTATACTCTTGGTAAGAACCAAGTTTTGGTTTCAATGGAAGGATTTTGCAGATTCTGAGGTATTCTTTGATGTACTGATGTGTTAATGCTCTCTGATCGAAAGGTAAAATGTACTAAGGTCTTGAAGGATGCGAGTACTCTTCTTCATACTTTTATGATCAAAGCGCAAACAAATTTTACTCTTTTGTCAGAGTGTTGTTATTTTTTAATGCATATTTGGTTTAGCTCAATGGGGGGTTTACGTTGGACGGTCTTGAAAAAGGTATCTCTGCAGTTCTAGATCGCATTTTTTTTACAGTTATGGTACATCGAGTAAACCGTGATTGCTTTTCGTATTGACAGCTTTCAAATCCCCTTAACAGATCGATTTTCATTTTTATATTTTCTTGAGCCTTTTGTCCAGGGTTTGAATCATACTGTTTGTTAAGTAGAATCTCGTAGAAATGTTATGTGATTTTCGTTTGTAGTTTCCAGAAACCTCATTAATTGCCTTTCTCAGTTGCTCAACCTTGATAGCTTTGTTTCTCAGTATACTTAGCGTTTAGGCTTGAAAATAGATGGTAAATAAATGTTGTTTTTGGTCCCGCATTGCTCTTTCGTTGCTTTTGACTTGTAAAAACGCATTGAGTAAAGCTTCGGTTCGAATGAACTGTGTGGGTTGCAAACTACTTCTGTTGCAGTGAAGAAAAGTAGAATTTGATTCATTCGTTGTTTAATATTTACATTATCACGTACGTTCACCATCACAGTGGGCGTTTGCTATGGCAGGTAATAGCAGACTGATGACTGGCATTTGTCGCTTTAAGTTGCTAAATTTTCGTGGGACAAAGCTTGAAGATGAGATGTACCATTTTGAATATACTGCGTTAGTTTTCTTGTAGGTGTATCCGCTAGTTAGGCCGGGTACGCCGAAATCACTTAGAATTTGATGAGTAATGCGAATAACTCGCGTCATGTAACCTGCAAAACTGTTTTTATGTGCGTTGTCTCGGAAGATTGTCCTTTCTTTCTATGTTTATTTTAAAGAAGAATTTGTAAGCAAAAGAATTTAAGTCAGAGATAATTTCTTTACGCAAGTCGTGTTGTACACTGCCCAGTCGTCTCTTGTCCTCATGTTTTTATTATGGGGGAAATGCTTTTTCATTGGCAATGTCCTTTCGTAAGCAAAACGAAAGGATGACGGTTCCAGCAAGTAAAATAAAAGTAATCCCAAGATGAAGCGAAACAGATGTGAACGCAATCCAGTAGGTAACGGAGTCACAGTAATGGCGCTCGAACATGTCTTTATCTGCGTGGTAGAATCTTCGTTTGCTGTAAACCCATATTCCTCCTTAAATCAATGATTATACATGACTTGTTGAGGGTAGCTTATGTGATTTATGAAAATAAACTGGTGAGCTATGTTCAGAGAGGGAACAAATCGTGTTAAAAGCAGGTGTGTAGAGGAGCTGTCAAAGTTTCTTTACACTTGTAAATATTTAAATGGAAAGACCTGTAAAGCTTTTAATATTTAAGGTATTTTAAGAAAAAGATCTGTCTATAACTTGTAAGATTTCATTATAACCGCTTTTTTAAAATTTATTTCCACTGCTTTTTTTCCGCTATTCATTCCAACTGTCTCGCCCTTTTAAACAATCTGCTTTATTCCAGAGACTTCTTTTCTAGCGACTTGTAAGAATTTCAGAAGTTTCACACCAAATCGACAAACCTCCTTAGTGCTCCCGATTCAAAAGAATTGTTGCGGGACCTATTAGTTCCTCCAACAATTCTTTTTGATCATCATACATCTGCAATGGAACGGTCAACGGAGAAGTCGGTTGTATAGAACGGCAGCAACGCGCTGCCAATTAGAGAAGTAATTGGCTGCACTTCGTGCTCTTGAGACCCCTTTTGAGTAATCTTGCGGAAGTACGGGGCAGAACAATAGGCTCCGGCCTTAAATGCTACTCCTCAAAAACGTAACAATACTGCAGACAGAAAAAACACTATCATATGGATGGTATGAATCAGGGTATGGGCACTTTTCTCAGGTTTTTCATTCCCTCCTTCGATATTCTTGAAAGCTTTCTTTTGTGATGTTCTGAGCAGTCGCTGTCTACCATCGGCCATCTCAGCCCAATTTTTACCAGCCCTTACGCAAGGCGGAGAAGTACATTGTGACTAGTTCTATCCTGCCTTTGTTGCATTAATAAGTCTCGTAGAGTACCATACCGGTGTAATCCACTACGACTTCTTCGATTCTAGCTCCATATCTCATTAAAAGTTGCAATGGCACCACATGCCGCCCGAAGAACGCCGAATAATTTAGGCAACTGCTGAAACTCTGCATGCTTAACGTTGCTTACATTGGCTGATCCATTTGAAAAAAATTGGAATGAGCAGCGTGGCTTACAAAGCCGTTACAATATTTTCACATTCTCACAATTTTAAATCTTCAAGGAATTAATGGTAACCTCGAGGTAGTTCAGTTTTTAGTCGACTGAAGCCTTATTGATACACATGTATACCGCTTCATCTAAAAAGCTAACTTTGAATAACCTCTCACTCCATTCATACCCCTGTTCCTCTCCATATTTTTCGGAAGCAGAGTGCGAGGCTTACAAGTTGAATCAACTAGAGCAATTCTGAGTTGTGAAAGAAACCTCATAGTTTCAAAAGTTAGGAATACTCAGGGTTTTACGAGTTGAACACTGTCTCAGGGGAAGTTGTTATTTTGACAAAAAATCGCTTGAAAGGATCTAGACATCACCGGAAAAGAAAAAAGCAAGAGAAAAGATGACCTCATAAACAAAACAACGTTTTTTTTATGAGGAAACCCTTCCAAAACGCAAAAAAAGATAAAAAACACTGTAGTGTGAAGAGTGCGCAAAATCAGCAATTTGAGCGGTCCATATTTTTTTTGAAAACGCTTGAAAATGGACTTCACTACACAGTTTGCAGTCTAATCTCACTTAACACGGAGCCTAGCTCAATAAGTTTTTAGAAACGGCAATCCTGCCAAACCGTTCTGTGTCACTTTTGGTTAAAGAGGGCCGAACTTTTGCCAGAAGTAGACGGGTTTAATTTTCTGTCACCATCTAATATTCCGCTTCGTTCTTTAATCTACGGTACGGCTGGCATGTTTAGAAATCTCTTTGCCAAATTTTCAGGGATTTTTTGAAATGTAAATTGAATTTTCAACAGTAACAACCTATTTGTTGCGTCTGTAAAAATATATTCATAAAGGTTACTTTTTTTGGAAATGCTTAAGTACTGGAGAGCGAGAAATAAGAGTTTTTTGCTCAAGCACATCCTCTAGTATCAGCGGGGCAGGTATGTACTTCTTCACTTCACCAATGCTCTCAGCTTAAAACCTTTTAAGTCTTTTTAAATTGACTTCACTACACTTTTTCCGAATGACCGTTTACCTAATATGAGCCAAATAATAATGGCAAGGAGAACGACGCCTTCGATCGAATGAATAACCGAATTGATATTAGAGTCACTCGACTTGCTTTCTGGGCGAGACCAAAGGTTGTAAATCCGCAACGCAGCAAGTAATATCAACAAACTACCGGTAACAATTAAATAAACCGGAATCATCCGCTGTAGAGAACAGTATGGCAAATTGAACGCTCCTAAAGTATAATGAAATTATAAGAATTAAATATTCTTACATGGCTACATACGACTGAAAAATGCTTTCCATTAAGTATTAGTTGTTTTTAAACAAGAGTAAAGAGCTTGATGACGAAACAAAGCAATATGAATCCAAAAAATAATCATACGATTATTTATGGAAATCTTTTTTGGTTTGACAGCCCCACCGCTTTTACTGGTTGTAATGGCTGTGGCCAGTAGGAAAGTACAGCCTGTGAATGTCACCATCTGGTGGCTTGTAAGATACTGTAAGTGCCTAAGTGCCTTAAAAACAGATACAAAGAACTTTGTTTTTAAAGTTTTTTAGATGTTGGAGAATTATGCGTTTTATTTTTTTTAAAATTTTGAAACATTTTATTTCCAACTTTCCTTCAGCTTTTAGAAACTGTGTTTCTAAATTTTCCTTTAGTATCAGGAAATTATAGATTGCAATTTTTAATGTGAGAACAGGCTGTGCCTTTGAATCTCCTTCAAATTTTAATAAACCACGTTTCTAGATTTTCTTTAAATTGCCAAAAATCTTGTTTCAAGAATCGCTTCAAATTTCTAGAAAAAAAAATGCTAGAAACCGTTAAAATCCATGCATCCGTTCAAAAGCTGTACTGAGTATAAGCCAAAAATCTTGTCTAAATGAACATTGGCTTTCCAGAGCTTAGCTATATGAGCTTTCAGGTTAATGCAGTATACTTCCTTGGAAAATTTTCCGCAAGCATTAGGTAGCCGTACACAACTGCAGTCATCATTTACTTCTGGCATTTCACTTACATTCCGTCGCTGAACTACAGTAACTTTAATAACTTTCTTAAATTGCATGCATGCATTTTGCACGTCTCCATTCCACGGACAGAATTTTTGCACCCGAGCACTACACAACTACAGCCATTTGCATTTCTTTTTTTTTGCGTCCTGCACTTTTAGCAACAACGGCGATTTGACAGTACCAGTCAAAACCGTACGTGACCTATTATTGGTCGATACCAATTTGTATGGAAAGAGAGGTCTCCAAAATAAAGAAGCTGTAGTTTTTTGAGCTAAGCAGCCCATAGTAGTTTCCAGAGGAGTATCCGTTACTGAAATGGCCGAGCGTACACACATAAAACAAAGACTTTCTATAGCCTGTCCGCGCAACCTCTGTCGTAACTCAAGGCATTGTTAACACGTTATCTTACAGCTATTGCATCTTCAAACAGTACTCTTTTAAAAAAATTCAAAATATTGTGTTCAAAATAATTATCCCAGTTTCGTTTTTGCTCTTACTCTTCATTCATTTTGCCTGTTTATGTATTTCATCGCTCTTCTGCAAGTGTTGGAGAAAAATTTCAGTTGGGATAAGAAGGTCAGAAATCTCAGAAAAGGTCAGAAAAAATCACTTGTTTCATAAATTATCTTCGAAGTACTTCTTGGTATGATGCAACGGTATAATGAGGTTCAGAAAGCTAGCTTAGAAACTCAAAGCTGAAAATTTATTAACGTTGTATATTAATAAGACATACCAACGAGCATCAGAACAAGTCCCCATAACGCGACCACCGTGTAAAAAATGACCCATACAACTGAAAACATAAGAAATTTTCGCTATATATACATATAGAAGTTTGAACAACATTGAAGTTTTTTTCAGTAGTAGTTGCCCAGAATTTTTCAATTGGAAGACCCAAAAAGGACTCATCTATAGCTGCCATCAAGCTAAGTCAGTCGTTTCACCGACTTACCTTAGTAACGATAGTAAAGTTTAAAAAACCATTAGCTTAACAGTTCTGAAAGAATGAAGCAAAGGCTTTTGCTCAAGAAAACTGCACAAAAGTTCCTCTAGCCCCTTCAATTAAATTCTCCTCTAATAAAGAATGAAGAATTTTCTTCATTGGAAATACTTACAGGAGGGCACTAGGGAGGTCACGTAATTCCCCAAGTTTTCTGTGACTCCTGCCGCTTCTCGTGAGTTTGGATAATCATCTGCGCTTTTTACGTGTGACTTTTTCGGTGACTGTATACTTACTTAAAAATTAGGTTGAATTTGAAATATGTAAGAGAAAGCTTTTACAACCTGTAGGCTGTAGTAGAAGTCAATGGCAAAAGAATACCTTGGACTTTTCTTTGAAACTCAATAAACAGTACCTCCAGATTTTGAGGTGAGTGGCCTGTAAACGTCACCAAGTTTATTTTGTCCATTTTCCAACGACGATTCATCAGTGCTAAATTGAACTGCAATGTCTGGGCTTTTGTTAAGACTCTTCGGACTCCTGAAGTGGTAAATTGCTGCTTACTGAGTGTAAACACAAATTCTTCATGAGAAAAAAAGTCAAAAACAAAAAAGTAAAAAAATTTAGCAGCACTTTACTCGTAATTGTTTCTTCTACTTGGAACCCTGTAAGGTTGCCGAAATTCTGTTGATATGCATACTTCCGTACTTTCGCCTTGCATTAAACCGAACTCTTCAAAGGTACTGACCGTTCCTGTTTTACTAGATGTTTCTAGTCGAACAGGCTGAAATTTTACTTCAATGTTTACTTGTATGTCACCTTTCTATTTTAATGCTACCACGTGAAATACACCTCTGGTGAACATTTTTGAGTGTAATTGTTGACTAAAAAGCGAGGCGAACGGCACTTCGGGCTAAAGCAGTGAATCGCGAAATACGTATGTTCTAAACAGCGCTGCGTTTGAATGCGGTGTTGGGCAATATTCAATTTTGAAGAAAACCTGCATCTGACGAAAAGCTTCATAGCATTGCTGGTTGGAATTTCATCAGCTATTACAGTAGATACAGATTTTCTGACATAGTCGAATGCTGCTTGAAACCTATCAAAAAATTGTTAGGACACTGCGTGAAAAATGTCCAAGCGCTGCGTCAAAAACTCTCGTTTGATACACCGCAGCCCCTAAAATGCATGTAAGAAATAAGCACAAAAACAGTAGATCGAAACGCTTTCGATCAATTTCAGGAATGATCTAGTTTACGAAGTGCGCAAATGGAAACTCATATTTTGCTCTTGGTGTTAATACTTATATGCCCGTATTGAATATGGAGTAAATAATAAGACTGTTTGAGCTCTCTTGCGAATAATTCCATGCAGTTCCGTCTTGTTTAAATCAAAGTTACCTAAGTCAATCAGGCGATGAAATCGGCAGAATTTAACAGAATTGCTAATTGCTGTGCCAATGTAATTCCAACACTCACTCCTCAAGGCATAAACTGCCACGGATAAAGTGAAATTTCTGGGAAAGATACTTAGTTCTACAGCTACAGTGACAACAGAAATTTGACTTACCAAGATTCTTTCGCCTTTTGATGTTTGATCCATGTGAAGTAACCAAAGTGTTCTGTAAAATTCATTGCTAAAGTCACAATTACTGAATCTATTCAAAAATGATTAGGAAAGTGACAGCTCACGTGGTTTTATCGCTATATGATAATTTAACATAGGATGTTTCAAAAGTACTGTCAAGGTCTTTTGAAACTTTGACGTATATCAAGAAGGAGTAGAACTTGTCTTCCACACTCTGAACTCTCTTGAAAAACCCTTTGCAGTGTTATCTGCATGTCCAAAAAAAGTAAAACAAAAAAAAAAGAAAACCAAAAAAATATCAGACGAGGTAAAACATTATTGAAGCAAGACGTTACAGCTACGACGTTAAAGTGAGTAATAATTCTGATCTTTACAATAGCTTTATGTATAGTAACATGAAACTGTCTTCACGCTGAGTAACGCCTTATCGCTGTTCGGGCACAATCAATATTGGTTTGGAGCCAACTCCAAATGCTTTGTCACTTTCACTACATCCAAAAACTGTTCCCTTTTATCAATTCTAGGCCGCTCCTTCGACGCGCACCCGGCTTTCATTCTGTAAATATCAATAAGTGGGCTTTACCTACTATTCTACCACATGTACAGGAGCAGTCTCTTGAAACTGTCATGGTAGAATGTAACTACAAAGTCCGAAGGTTAAAATGTTCAGTTCACCATAAATTTTCGAAGCGTAATTACCTGCAGCCATTTGTTGTTTGCTACGACTGTGTTCTGGCAAACTGAAAAATTATCGCCGTTGTTGTAAACTTATCATGTCGCTCACCATTTATTCAGGTATACTTCAATCGGTGTAATCGATTTGAAACAGTTAACTGAAACGCGTTGCCAGAAAAGCTTTTTTGTCTTACTTTTATTGCCTTTAGTTCAATCGTGTAACAATGTTTCTTTCAAAATATTTTGAACAAATCTCAAAAAGCAATCAGTGACGATAAAAAGCACGAATGACTGCCTAAGGCAAGAATATTAAAATAGAATGTTGGCTGCATTTCAAACCCACTACCGTATTTCTAGCGTTTCTTCAGTCATTCACGTTTTTATAATGCTAACCACTCGCGTCTAAATTTTTTAAATTTGAGATGTAATTTGAAAAATATTCAACTATTTCAAAAATATTTTTGCCATTAATCACTGTAACAGTGATGAGTCATGCAAGGGCAGATATAGAAGTGGCTTTTTTCAAGTGTTACTAAGCTGGAAAACGGCTGCAAAGGCAGTATTAATAAATAAATATATTTGAACTAAAATACCGTCGCTTGCGGAAGCGCTAAGAAAATGACTTGAATAGAAGTTTTTTCCATTTTGGTATCACTAATCAAATCGAAAATGGTGATCTCATCAAGATGCTGTCTTCCATTTTCAATACGTTATACAAAATCAATGCTTACACAAAATGTATCATCTTGAATTTAAGCGTTTGCTTTCTTAGATATGCTACTTTGAATTCTTTTTTTCACCGATCATTTGAGTATTTCCGCAATAGTAAGCGGGGAAGCGACTGTAAAGAATGCTCATTGCTGTTCTTTTGTGGAACTGCAGAAGAGGGCTTTTAAATGAAACAAGGTCTTATGGAATTTATTTGAATGAGCGAAGTAACGATTTCCTCAAAACGAACACCTTTAACAAAAAATGCATTCTTCACCGCCTCTTTTTGAAGTATCTGATTCAAATTCCGCAACTAGGAGTCAGGTACTACAGGTTAAAGGAAGTCTAAAAGGTCGGTCAAAATGTTTATGAATTAATGCATATGTATACAGGCAATTTCATGCCAAGTCGCAAACTTTTTCAGCACTTGACACCCGGTCGTGAAAACAAGAAAGCTCACCTCAAAGAGCGCAGTGGCGGCAAAGTTAGATCGTTGTAACGTACAAAACAAACAAAAACATAAAGTTTTTTCTCCAAATGGTCACCTCTAAGAACTTGTAACTTTTCCGCTCACGATGGACTTTTGTAATTTCTACTTTATTTTTTTAAAGGCACAATTTTTGCACAACGTATTAGAATTACCTCTGTGGTATAAGGGTACTATTAGTGACAAAAGACCTCAAAAACCCTGATTGAAGCAGGATTTTGACGGATGACGGGGCTCCTGTACCAACTAAAATGTTACTCGTTACAATAATGTACATGATTTATTAAAAAGTCATTAGTTCTACTACTTCAGTAGCAAGTAATTAGTTTGGAATTTTTCGCTTCCAAATAATTTTACAAAGTTTTTTCGAAAAAAGTTACTTTTATGATTATTTATTTGATATGGATCCTTTCGTTTTCTTAATGAATTTTTCTAACCTGAGTCCTTCACAATCAATGCTGTTTTTTGGCCGTGTTTTGCTGCTTATTCCCAGCACTTTGTATCATAATGCAGCGAAATTTTTTATACCTTTTACTGGCAAACTTTCTCAGAAAAGCGACACCAAAAGTGCTCTTTTCTTTTTATATTCTTGCAGAAGGACTAGAATAATTAACATTTCCTTTCATTGGTTTGAAGCCTGTTTGTAAGGGTAAATGGGGATTAAGATTGAGTACTGCCTCCTACTCTCAAATTAATGCAATGCAGC